TCAAATGCAAGTGTCACTCGAACCATAACAGCAATTTATAAAATAACGAATATTTTGAATGGCTCGAGTGACACTTGCATTTGATAAAAAAAAACACGTCTACTGAGGATTCATAGTTATGGAAAAATCATATATCAATGAAACAGTCATCGGTCGTCATTGAAAAGCAATGCAACTATGTTCTGTCAATCTAATTGACTTTTATTGGTTCTGTTGTCTTGTGAATTTTAGCTAAAACGGCCTCTTTTCTGATTTTTATCTCTCAATCTATGAAATAAACACGAAAACTATGTTGGAATGAAACTTCTTAAACAATATGAGGAACATTATGCCGTACACTACACATTTTTATATCATACGGGTGGAAAATTCGTAGAACAAATACTTTAAAATTCTTCACATTTTAAGATATCTTCGAGCATGAAACTAAGTCAAAATTCAATAAAATCACTTCAAATAGTCAACCTTTGGCCACAAAGTTGGTAGATAACACATTAAGCTTTGCTATGAAAGTTGTTACAGCAGTTTTCGTTATTTCAGTCTCGAGATACAAATATTGTAAGCCGTAAATTACCTTAAAAACATAAAATTAACTTGAAGCACCTCAAAATCATCACCGATTTTGCTGAAAATTTACACAGAAGTACAAATTAACATGACGAAGAGTAATCACGGTTGACCCGTTACATTCCGAACATTTCGTTTAAAATGAACAGGTCTACAGTACATGTTGTATTTCTATCGATGATCACACAGCTCTATTAAGTAAAAACGGGAATATGCGATGCAACAGAGAATTCGTGTAGCGGAAAATACGAAGCAGAACGGAACATAGAAACCCGAGAGAGGTATTTTTTTCGGATTGTTCGTCTTGTTTGTGGGGTGTGGGGTGTGAGCGTATGAGAGTGCGATGACTTATAGGAAATAAAGTGGGAGAGATAAAGATAGCATGCGGTATTGATCGAAGGAGATCGGCTGATGGGTTTAGTCTGGAATGTGTTGGAGTACGATTGCACTGACCGCCATTCTGTTGGCTATTGTTGCGACGGCTGCACGTAATTTATTTGGAATCGTGCTTGGTCACTACACGGTCATCGTCCACCAAGAGGCACAGTCATAAGCCTGGTGATCATTATATACTACGGTCACATAGCGAAAGTCAAAGCTAAAAATTAATAGTTTGAAGGTGAAAACTAAAGCTAAAGTGCTAAAGTGGGCTAAGTTGGAAGTTTGAAGAAGTTGTAGAGGAAGTTGCCACGTATCATTGGACAGCCAGGTCACCAAGAAAACCCCGAGCCAGATCCAACCGTTGTCTAGTGAGATCAGGTCGATAACCGCCATTTCGAATTCTCATTCGCGCCCACAGAACCTCGCGGTTTTACCGTAACATTTGCGTACTCAACGTATTTTTTCCGGAGTCGACCACGCCAATCGCCGGTAGTCTGTCCGAATCGCAGTTCGAGAACCTGATCCCTCAGCTACAGTGTGCGCCACCAATCCAGGCAAGCCAACTTACCCTTGTAGTTCGTTGAAACCTCGAGTCCGTCACCATACTCGAGGGGCGTACGGGACAGGTAGAGGCGTCCACCCCTGGCTCAAGAAGGTGATGCGGTACCAGAGGAAGGAAATGAACGACGACGACGGCAGTGGCAGGTGAAGGGGCCCCGAAGACAAAAGAAGAGTAGTGCTAGCACAAGGTAGGAGTAGACATCTAAGGTAGTGGGAGTTTGTCTTGAGTGAACTTTGAGTGTTTTCTTGGTTCGCGGAATTATCACGAGCGTGTGCCGACCCTGAGGCTTGGGGACGGGGGGTCTCATCAGTGCTGGGAGTAACACCGCACTGGCACGTTACATAACGTACAGCAACTATGGGAGCGTTTTAGCAGACCCCCTTAACTCTTTGGAATTTATAGAGACAGATAACAACGCCAATAGGTCTGTGACGATACAACGTTGAACTGCAGCGTTGGAAGAAAACACGCACACCATCATCTATGTACGAACCCACAACACTGAGCGGAGGGTACAGCGCAAATTAAAAACACGAAGCGGTGTCATCACTCATCGTCATCACTCAGATTCGGCAGACGAGCAGACTCCTGAGAAGGTGAGTAGCTGTCCATTTAATGTACACGTGAAGGATTGTGCTACCTGTTTATTTTTTGTTTCCGGTTCAACTGCATGACGAGGACTTCTACCTGATTCACGGACAACTCTATGCCATAGGAGGATATCTTTTTTTTTTATGCTATAGACTTGATTAATGTTCATTGTAATTGTATTGTATTATTGTGATTCATGTATTTCGAAAAGATATGGGGTTTTACGCCTTTTCAAGGCTTTTCCCCATCAGGCTTCATTTAGACACGTTAAGTCAGATGAAGAAAAACAAATTAAATAAATAAATTAAATAAATAAATAAATAATAATGATGACATCGAGCATCCTCTTCCCACGGCTGACTATCAACGTCCACGCTGGCATATGTCATGCTGACACCAGTCATCTATTGAGCCCTGGTGGTGAAGTTGGCGGGGGCTCCCAACAGTTTCAATGTGCACTCATCAGATGGCACTGCGATCACATAAGGATGGTGTATCCATTGCCTTGTTCGAGGACTTGATTAGTGGGATATCTTGTTAATTAAATATCTTTGGTTTTAGCCTACAAATCTACGCAAACTGATGAATCGATTCGATTTTGCCCTCTCCGAATTCCATGAAACTTCGCATAATTGAACCAAGTTTGTGCTGGAAATCGGTCATTTTGATTCACACCTAATGTTTCAATTAATCATAGCACGAAACCTGCTTATCTAATCCGAATGATGTCTAAGACAAAGTTTTCTTCAGAAAATAAAATACACACTAAAAAACTGCGTTATTTCCAAGAAAGGACAAAATCTAATGCGTGCTACTAGTGAATCTGTATCTCCAAGCCCAGGCCACTTCACCGTGCCTGTCCCTGTGGAAAAGTTTTGGATTTACCTACCACTATATCGGAATGACGGGGCCTCATAGCCTAGTCAGTAAAGGCACGGTATTACCAAGCCGGAGGCGGCGGGTTCGATTTCCAGTCCGGTCGAGGGAATCTTTCGGGTTGGAAATTTTCTCGACTTCCCTGGGCATAGAGTATCATTGTGCTTGCCACACAATATACAAATTCATGCATTGATATTGGCATCGAAAGCTCTCAATTAATAACTGGGGAAGTGCATTTAGAACACTAAGTTGAGAGCACGCAATAAGCTAATATGCGCTAAGCAATAAGCTTGAAATGCGAACAAGAAGAAGAAGATGGAATGACGGGCGGACTGGGGAAACACAACGGAATACAGCGTCGAGAATTCGGCACAGAAAGAAAACTATACACGGGAGAATACTTTTAACTTTATGCTTTAATTATCAACGGTTATAGTACACGAACTTATTCTGACAAGAACTTAGTTTGGACTGACACAGAATGTTTACTTCTTGTTACTCTTGCACTCCATGAGGTGAATCTCGACAGGTACGGCAAATGCACATGAAGGACCAAGATCCGTAAAGTGAACAGGTGAACATTGTATCCCGACACTCCTCCTCGATGAGCAGCCTTTTCACGTCTTCATCTGAAATCCGATCATACTACAGAACTTCTGGTGATTCACAGGTCCCAGGGGCTTCGTAAGAAGATCTGCGATCATAAGGTCTGTTGAACAGTACTCCAGAACGATTTCCTTCCTGTCACAGAGCTCCTGGATAAAACCATAGAGGTAACTCTAAGACTAGAAGGTCCCGAAATAACGTGCTCAACTTTTTGTCTCAGCTCTGGTACTCTCTTCGGTCTCAAGCTAATCGATTCACCCCTCGAAACATATGAAAAACCAATAATCCCTCATTTCATCTGTCAAACTTTCATAGCGAATCAAAACAAACATTGCGTAGTACTAGAATTTCGTCTAGAATGGGGTACGTTAATCGTTTGCTTGGGACCAATAGGCTAGTCAAGTAGTGAGCTAAAATCGTTAGTTTCGTATTGATTGTTGGTATTAACGCCCAAAATCCGAACGTCTTTAGGGGAAGTACTCTGCTCGTAGCCACCCCGCCGGGGTTAATCGGGCCAGCTATAGGCTGCCAGGTAAACCGCAACTTACAACTGGGGGGAGCTCTGCGTTGGCGATTGTACGGAGAACTCTGTCCTGCTCACTGGGGAGGCAGATTCTGTCGTTTCCGGCGGTATTTGCTGAAAATTCAGCGGCTTTGTTGGCAATGGCTGCGTAGATGCGGTACCGGAAAGGGAGAGTTCCGGCTCCCTAGTAGCACTGTTGCATATGCAACGATGGAAACGCTTTTCCGAAATAGTAATCCTGTTTATTATGTACAGCGATTAAAATTTTCCTAAATATTACAATTTCAATTAGGTATCAATAAGGGATTGTATAAACTTCGTCGTACTCACGTTTGTAAATTCCATATAATTTCCGTACGATCGATTATTAGATAAAGGCTACGTACACCTGGTTCTGCGATCTCTGTGCGACTTCTGGTTTACTTATTTGTGTTCTATTGTTAAGGTATAGTAAATAGTTTTAAGCTTTTAATCTAGATGTAGTTCAAAAGTATTTACCTCGAGATAATGTAGACATAACCAATAATTAGATAGTTTGCAGCTTTGCAAAATTGATCGGTATCCTATAAGTTATCCTGTAAATCTTTTAGTTTTAAGTTCATGTTTTTCATATTAAATTTATGAAGCGCTCTTACCGTATAAACTTAGAATAAGCTTTAAATTATATAAAGTTTAGTTATTCACTTAGTTATTATATTTAGTATTAATAATGCAGGAAAACTTTCACGTGCGGTTGGTCTTCAATTGTTTAATTGCACCCGTCATCCGACGACGTCAATGACAGTTATCTGTCCCATCATCGCACCGCAACCAACTTAACTACAACAACGCAAATCCATCGGGGGACAGGACTGCTAATCAATGAGTCTCCGGAGTAGGTGCGGCGTTGCCCGTATGGTGTACGCAACAGTCCCCCGCAGTAATTGGACCCTGGTCTGCCTTACTTCCGTCTGCACCTACATCCAGCACAGCTATTTTCACTGCAGGCCTGTCGTACAGTCCAGATGGAGTTTGGACAACCGCCGAGCGAACTTGTCCATCTTTGGAGGCCTTCACCGACACCACACGTCCTTTGGGCCAACTGTTCCTTGGCAGACTGGGATCAGCTACTACGACTATATCGCCTATCGCGATTGGCTTAACCGGGTAGAACCACTTGGTACGACGAGTGATTGTGGGTAAATATTCTATCACCCACCGTTGCCAGAATCGGTTCGCCAAAGCTTCCGATGCTTTCCACGATCTTTGAAGTGTTAACGGACAATCATTGTACGGAACAAGCGGCTTCGATCCGTCCGGTGACCCCATCAAGAAATGGTTTGGGGTAAGCGCCGGCGAGGAGTAATCGTCCACGGGTACGTGCGTCAGTGGTCTACTATTGACGACATTCTCTACTTGAATCAAGTAACTTCTTAGTACCTCTTCTGTAGGCACTCGCTGTGGTTTAACGCTGGCCAAGACCTTTTTCACCGACTGGATGAGACGCTCCCAGCAGCCACCCATATGCGGCGACGCAGGAGGGTTGAATCGCCATGATGTTGTTGGTGTGGTGAATTCAGTCAATAACTTGTCTCGGTCCAACTCCGCCACCGCAACTTTCAATTCTTTATCCGCACCGACGAAATTTGTTCCCCGGTCGCTCCTGATTTCTATAGGAGTACCACGACGTGCGAAGCAGTTCCTCAGAGCCATGATACAAGAACTAGTGTCCAACGAAGCGGCCAGTTCCAGATGTATCGCCCGCGTTGTTAAACATGTAACAATCACACCCCAGCGCTTCTCGTGATGCCGACCGACGAGGACAAGGAACGGTCCGAAGAAATCTACACCCACATACGAGAACGGGCGTACAAAGACTGCCACTCGTGATTTTGGAAGAGGTCCCATTGCAGGTGGTGCAGGTATTGCACCGCGAATCTTGCACAACTGGCAGTTCCGGCGCACCTGATCGCAGACTGTACGCACTCTTGGTATGTAGAAATCTTTGCGCACTAGGTTAACGCATGCTTCGTGGTACTGATGATGATAATGTTGATGTACGTTAGCGACGATAAGATGCGTTGCTGGATGAGCTCGAGGAAGCACAATAGGGTACTTGTCACTGTCATCTACGAAGTCGCACTCTCCCAAACGGCTGTGAATCCGCATCACACCAAGATCGTCGATGAACGGGTTCAGTTTGTACAAGCGATTCTTCTTATGGAGCCGTCTGCTCGCTGCTAATACCGCTAGTTCTTCACCGTAGGCGTCTTTCTGTGCTCGCTTTATTTGGAACGTCTCCGCCGTAGAAAGTTCTTCCTGTGTAAGCGGACCGGCGATCGATGGTTTTCTATTTTTCTTCTTTCTGAGATTGACGAAGAAACGTTGAACATAGGCCGTTACGCGCTGCAAACGTTGCCACGAAGAGAAATTTTCCGGCAGCAAAATTGTACGAACCCTTCCTTCCGAATGGTGCATCATACTCGGTCGGATCTCTGTGCAGGTTTCTTCACCGATCAGCGACGACTATGGCCATTCGTTCTTTGGCCTCCACAGGAACGACGGTCCGGTGAACCAACGGCTTGTTGGCTTGAGGTCTGGTTTGAACTTCCATTTCGTGCCGTCGTCGGCTACGTTGTACTTCGTGCCCAACCAGCTCCACTCCGTGATGTTTGTCGCTTCCAGTATTTCACCAACACGGAAGGCCACGAATTGGGAATAACGCCGGTGGTCGGACTGTAGCCAACACATAACGTCCCGTGCATCCGTCCAGAAGTAACGACGATGGATTTTAATGGAGTGCCCTTCTGCGATGTTGTGAGCCAAACGCGTACCAATGACGGCCGCTTGGAGTTCTAACCGAGGGATAGAGACGAACTTGATGGGCGCAACTCTTGTCTTGCTTCCAATTAGAGCGCACTCCACGTGGCCGTTCACCTCGAAACGAAAGTAGGACACGGCAGCGTAGCCACTTTCGCTAGCATCCACGAATGTATGCAGTTCGATAGTGGTTTGATCAATTCCCACTTCGTAGCGATAATAGCAGCGATTGATCGTCACTGATTCCAATTCCGGCAATATACGCAGCCAGGTTAACCACTTCTCCAGCTGATTCTCCTCAATCTCCTCATCCCATCCAGTTCTCGCTCTCCATATCTCCTGTAGCAGTACCTTCAAATACATCAAGTAATGTGCGATGAGCCCCAGAGGATCATAGATAGCCATATCAAAGTACGGAGCACGTCCCGTTTGGTAGGGTGCTTTCGTCCAGTGAGAAGCTCCTTGTTGCGACTCGTACAGAGTTTGTAACGAAAGACATCGGACGTAGTACTCCACCACATTCCAAGGACCTTCTCCATGCCGATCTCAGCGTTCATCTCCATAGACTTCTCTGACTTCAGGTTCTCTCCTAGCGCTTCCAACACAGCCGGCGAATTCGAAACCCAATTCCTCATGTGAAATCCACCCTGCTTGTGAACGTATCGAACCTCGTTCGCCAATTTGATAGCTTCTTCCTCCGTTTCTACGCTTGTTAACATGTCGTCAACGTAGTGTCTATGGTGGATAGCGTTGACGGCGGCAGGATACTCGTTTGTGAACCGGGTCGCATTCTCATTCAGGACGAAGAGTGCCGTGCTGGGTGAACATGTATAGCATAGCATAGCATAGCATATGCGATTGTACAAATCGTGGGTGGCTATATAATGGTCAACTAATACGTTTTGCAGAAAATATCGAGTGTTGACGCAGAAATAATCACTTGGGATTAGTGATTTTCCCCACACGAAAATAAAATCTACAATAGAAGCATCGCATTATACACCTGGCCACATCCTTACAATCGCAGGGGAAGGGAGGGAAAGTTAATCCAACATCTACTTAAGAAGGTGCAGGGAACCCATACTACCTTCATAGGTGTCACAGGAAGGAAAGAGTTGTGTTAGTGGGAGGGTGAATGATTTGGCAACTCTATTCGTCAATATAGAGCATTTGATAAATCAGTGACAAAAAATAAAATATAAATAGATAAAATGGAAAGATCTCACCCGATTGGCCTAGAGACTTTGCAGCGTCATGTTTTCAGAAATGCTTTATTTAATTTTCCTTGAACCACCGCAATCACTGATAACGCTCTTCTAGCTCGTACGTACAAAAGAACGCACTCCACGCATAATCAAGGTCATGTATTTTCGGACTGTCTTCTTTAACACCACACAAAGAAGTTGCTCATCGCAGCAACAGAAAAATATATCAGCGTGATAGAGGTTGTACGGGGCAACAAAGAAAAACGCAAGACCACACCAAGCACCATTGCATAAGCAACAAGAGATCAAAAAAAAAAAAAAAAAAAAAAAAATCACGCACTGTATTCAAAACTTTTAAATGCGATCACCAGTTCACCTCCAGTCACTCGAGAACAAAACGCATGCGAAAAGGTTTTCAGCAGCAAAAAAAAAGCACAGAAGAAACAAAACACATCCGTTTCGGTCGCTGGTTCAATCAGCACTCTGCTTTCTCCTTGGCCTCGATCAGTGCCCTTTCGGCAGTTACGGACCTCGTCCTCAGCGCATCCTGTTCACGTTCGGCAGCAATAATGGCGGATTTGATGCCCGTCACCATTTCCTTAATTGCCTTGTGGACGTTGCTCCTTGATGAAGTCATGGAGTTCATTGATCCTCCTCCTGACCTCCATCAATTTGGTCTTCCCAAGCTGCAATCCTTCTTGGGGTGTGCTACTGCTGGATTTCGGTGTGAACACCTGGCTTAGCATAAGACCTAGCTCTCCTTCGTGTCCTTGCTGCTCACCTTGGGGCTTACTGCTGCTGTTGGAACTCGCTGTTGCCTCCAGGTTCAACACTGGTGATCTCTGCAATATCCCGCTCCTTGCGAACACGTTCGCTCCTCCGTTTTCAATTTCTGGCGTCTTGCCGTCGTCCTTCATATTTTTTTTGGGTTTTCTCATTTTCTTCTTTTTTGTTTTTTTTCTACGTTTTTCTCCATTCTGTTGGGTCCCCCCCTCCGGGCCGCTATCTCCACTCGTTGTATGTAGTCGCCTATCGTGATCCCATGGTTATATATGCAAGCAGGGAGGCCATGCTAGGGTTGACACGGTCCTTCATGGGGGCCGTGTTCAGAGCCAGATCGGCGTAAGTCAGGAATGTTACATCTGAGTCTACTACTCACCAATCGCACTATTAGCCCACTCGCCATTTCAAGAAGGTGTCACCCTTCTTTACTTAGGGAGCAGAATAGCACGACTGTCAGCCCTGTAGCGTGGTATCCAATCCATTGTGCCGTGTCGTGTCCATAGTTCCATGCCGTATCCAGTATGCCGTAATAAGAATCTTACTGGCGTCGATCCTAATGTGCCGGTTGGCACTCCTGCGGGTTGACGAAGCATTTCCTCGATCGCCGTGTTATGGTTACCGCGCCAGTGTTCGCGTCGCACCCCCTCACTTTGCTATTGTCAGAAGGACAACATTGCCCAGGCTACACCACGGGGAGGTGTGAGGTAGGAACTTGTGAGGACCAGAGATAGGAAAAACGCTCTTCCCAGGTTGTCAATTCACCATTTGTAGCCCGCCGTGCTGGGTGAACATGTAGCACCGAATGTCACCACCTGCATCACGTAGTCACATGGTTCTGTTGTGTCTGCGTTAGCGCACCACACGATCCGCTGACTATCTTCATCTTCAGCTTTCATCCGCATCTGATGAAACATCTCCGCTAAGTCGCCTCCCAGGCCTATCAACCTTTCTCGAAACTTATACAGCACAGGTGGAAGATCATTCAATTGATCTGGGCCTTTCATCAACATAGAATTCAGGGAGACACCTCCAAAACAAGCGGCTGCATCGAACACTATCCGAACTTTCCCTGGTTTGTTGGGGTTGAACACCGGGAATATCGGCAGGTACCATGTTCGATTTCCGGTCTTTCGGCTCTCTTCGGGTGTGAGTTTGCGAATGTACCCTTTGCGCTCGTAGTCCGCCATTTTTTCCCGCAATGTCTCTGATAAATCAGGCTCACGTTCCATCCTCTTTGTCAAGCAACGGTGACGTCTCAATGCCATGGTACGGTTGTTGGGCAAACGCACGTCGTCAAATTTCCAGAGTAGGCCTACTTCGTATTGCCCGTCCTTGAAGGATGTAGTTTCTTGCAGTTTTGCCAAAGCGCGTTCATCTTCCTTGGAGAGTAGCTGATTTCGTTGCACACTGATGCCTAAACTGTCAAGTGCGAAATAGTTCTTGACAGCTTCGTGCAGACTTTCGTCCGAACCGTGAGAATGGAAGCAGATATGGAAGTTGTGTGGAGTTTCATCTGATGCCATACCACCTGCCGACGGACAAGTGCCATAGACCGTCCAACCTAGACGTGTCTTAACTGCTACAGGCTCATCTAGCTTTCCTTCACGGCCTTCTAGGGGATGCAGTACCCTAACATTGCTCATCCCGATTAATAGCTTTGGACGAACGTTGTTGTATGGTTCTATCGGCAGACCCTTAAGTTGAGCGTACTTTCCTGACAGCTTACGTGCAGGAAGAGATTGTGACGGAAGCTTCAGATCTTTAACAGTGTAGACCTCCGACAGGCTGTGCTGGCTACTACTGCTGTGCGTGCCGGAGATGCTCAAAGAGACAATTGTGGCATCTTTTTCATATCGGCATGTATCAGCAGTCCAGCGCAGACAAAGTGGATACTTCTCACCTCGCAGGTTCAATTCTTTCGCCAAACTCTCCTCCATCAATGTCAGGGAAGATCCACTGTCCAGGAATGCATGTGTACGCAGCTCAATTCCATTGTGGTACAAAATAACTGGAATGTACTGGAATAATACAGCTTTATTTCCTCCACGATGCGTGTTGCATGATTCGGTTTCTGGCGAACTTTTGGTTCCTAGCTGAGGACCACGGTTGTCCGAACTGGATGACAACGTCTCTTGTTTATCCTTCGCATCGTTGTGCAGAAGCCGATGATGTTTGTACTGGCAGCCATTCTTCCCACATAGTTTTCCAATCTTACAGGGACCACGATGGTTGCCCAGGCAACTACGGCATAGCTTGTACTCCCGGAGTGTGTCCCATCGAACGGAAAGACCGAACGACAGAAATTTCTCGCACTTCTCAACTGCAACGCAATCTCCATGGCAGACGAGGCAACCACCGCTAACTTCGGGTTGCTTAACCTTCGCATCTATTTCGGTGTGAGCGTTCAAGAATCCATCATCCTTCCGCCCGCGATGAGATTTGCTGTCGAATGAACTTGAAAACTGTGGCATTGTCACGGTACTAGCTGCTTCCGCTAGGTTGTATAGCCAGTCACTGAACTCTGATATCGTCACGGCATGAAGAGACTGTCGATGAGTCGCCCAATTCAATCGAATCATCGGAGGAAGCCGTTCAGTTAAGCTGTGCAGAAGAGTGAGGTTGCATAGGTGCTCCTCTAATTGACAGGCTTTAACGGTAGCCACCATATTACGCACGGCCAAAGCGAAATCAACAAGCGTACCAAGACGATCCGCTTTGGGAGCAGGCAGAATATTAATTTTCTGCAGCAGTGAATGTACTATGATTTCTGGACGCCCAAAAAGCATCTTTAGCGTGGAGATTACTTGTTCCAGGTTGCTAGGGTGCAATAGCTGACATCTCACCGCTTCCAGCGCTTTTCCTTTGAGGCACTTCTGCAGACGAACCATGTTTTCTTCGGGTGAAAATCCGCAGAGGTGTGTGGTGTTCTCAAAGGACGCAAAGAATAGCGGCCACTCTTCTGGTTCACCGGTGAATACTGGTAACTCCTTCGAGACCGCATGACGAGCGGCGATTTGGCTTCCATTCAGCAGCGCCGTTGCTCCCATGGCGGAAGGAAAGTCATGATAGTCATATGGGTGGTTCACTTGAGCAGTAGGACGCGGAAGACCAACATATGGGGCAAACGCGGAAGCGTTCTGGTGCTGATGGTGATTCGGCTGGGAAAACAATGGAATATGCGGACGCTGGTCGGTCTGAGGAGGAGCAAACGTCGAAGCATTGGGTCGTTGGTAGGCTGGATTAACTGCCGGTATATGCCGCTGTTGATTGACTCGAGGTGGATCAATGGCCGAAAAATTGGGTCGATTGTTGACCAAAGGTGGAACGTCAACCGGGACGTACAGTTGTTGCTCTCTCAGACGCGGAATGAATGTTGACTCGTTACGATTTTGGTGGACCATAGGTGGAGCAAATGGTGGAATGTTGCGACGATGATCGTTCATAGGCGACGAATGAAAAACAGGATCATCTCTTACATCGTTACGTGCTGGATCACTTCTGTTACAGTTGCCTTGAACCACAGGTTTGAAACTCGCTGATGAGTCAAGCAAAAGCTGAAACCTACGTAACATAAACTTGCGCTCGATGGCTTCCTCTTCTTCCAACAGCTGGATCCGGAGCTCAGTAGGAAGTTTGTTAACTAGATCGGGATCAACAAAGGCTTGTCTGGGAACTAGCGGCACATCCGGTGGCACAATCGGTGTTCGTGGAGTACGCGGACGTGGGGTTGGTGGCTGCAGATTTGGAAATCGTGGTGTCCGAGGACGTGGTGTAGGTGGTTGCGGATTTGGCAACGGACTACGCGGTGGCACGATCGGTGTTCGCGGAGTTTGCAGTCGTGGTGAGGGTACCGGCGAGATTGGTGTTTGCGGTGTGGGCAGAAGTGGAACTGGTGACTGCGGGTGCAGTAAAGGCTCACCTGTAGGAGTTCGTGGATGCGGCGGTCGTGGAGCAGGAACTCTGGCAACGATGCATTCCTGACAGCTCCAATCGTGGTTGGCCACATCTGCGTTAACTCCGACGCAGTCAAAATGAAACCACCGTTCACAGTCGTCACAGCTAACCATGTCATTGTTGTCTGGCAGTCTACAAAGTGGGCATGTCTGCTGCAAGCTGTCATCTGGCAATGGATCACGGGTTCGGTCACTCCGTGGCATCTCTGATCGATCCGAAAAACGAAAATTTTAAATTGTTGCATATGCAACGATGGAAACGCTTTTCCGAAATAGTAATCCTGTTTATTATGTACAGCGATTAAAATTTTCCTAAATATTACAATTTCAATTAGGTATCAATAAGGGATTGTATAAACTTCGTCGTACTCACGTTTGTAAATTCCATATAATTTCCGTACGATCGATTATTAGATAAAGGCTACGTACACCTGGTTCTGCGATCTCTGTGCGACTTCTGGTTTACTTATTTGTGTTCTATTGTTAAGGTATAGTAAATAGTTTTAAGCTTTTAATCTAGATGTAGTTCAAAAGTATTTACCTCGAGATAATGTAGACATAACCAATAATTAGATAGTTTGCAGCTTTGCAAAATTGATCGGTATCCTATAAGTTATCCTGTAAATCTTTTAGTTTTAAGTTCATGTTTTTCATATTAAATTTATGAAGCGCTCTTACCGTATAAACTTAGAATAAGCTTTAAATTATATAAAGTTTAGTTATTCACTTAGTTATTATATTTAGTATTAATAATGCAGGAAAACTTTCACGTGCGGTTGGTCTTCAATTCAGTGCCAACATTTCAAAGGGGCGTAATTGCTTTTGTAAACAAAGGCTTTAGCCGTCGATTTCTCGCAAATGAAAGCTCACTCCTCCAAATTAACAATGCTAGCTGGAAGAGGAAACATTCCTCTACCTGTTGGTGCAATCAATTTTCATGAGTGAGCTTTTATTTGCGAGAAATCAACGGCTAAAGCCATTGTTTACAAATGCAATTACGCCCCTTTGAAATGTTGGCACTGAATTGTTTAATTGCACCCGTCATCCGACGACGTCAATGACAGTTATCTGTCCCATCATCGCACCGCAACCAACTTAACTACAACAACGCAAATCCATCGGGGGACAGGACTGCTAATCAATGAGTCTCCGGAGTAGGTGCGGCGTTGCCCGTATGGTGTACGCAACAAGCACCCTTATTATAAACTGGTCTTGAAAACTTCTTTATGACTTATTTCAGTTATAAAAATGTTGCAGCAACTTTTTGGGACAGAATTGTGCTACTTGGGCTTCGACACAGCTGGCATCGATATCACCGGAGCGAGTATTTGTATTGCCTTGTCGGTGGCGATGCAGGTCAGCTCGAGTCCATATATCAGCCGGCTGTGTACGATGGTCGCCGGAATGCGTGATGGCGATGGTCTAGAAGGCCACCAGACTCGAGAAACTGCTTCAGGCGTCGGTTGACCATCCGCTCGAACACCTTTGTCATGCAGCAGGTGAGTGCAATGGGTCGGAACTTCACCACGTCCCGCGTCGGCGCGTTTGCTTTGGGAATGGGGACCACCAAGCTCTCCCTCCAATGCTCTGGATACGAGTCTTTCTGCCAAAGCTGGTGGAAGAGTTCCAGCATTTTTACTTTCTTGAGCAGCGGGTAGCCGATCTTGTCTGGGCGGCTGAGTTCCCGTTGCTTCTACTAAGCGCGAATTGAAGCTCCTGCCAGGTGAAATCGTGGTTGATCCTCAGGTTGTTCGTGTCCGGAGAAACTTGAAAACAGCTTACGGATGACCTTACCCCAGAGCTCCGCCGAAGACTGTGAGGCATTTATGCTTTCGAGGAAGTCCGTCCAACTGGATCGTTTGGCATCTCGGACCAATTGGCGACACTGGTTGTGCCGTTCTCGATAGGTACAGAGCGAGTTTTCCTTATCCGGATCATCTATGGGAAGCCGTTTGACTGGTCGAAGGGCTTTTCGCCGGGCCTTTACTGCCATCTGAGGGCTTAACGCCCCGGAATGCTGCTGGTTTTCGGGATGGTTTCTGACGCAGCTGCGCTTATTGCTTCAGTGAGATTCTCGATGCTGTCAGGGTTGCGTTGTTGTAGAAGCGACTGGAAGGTTTCACCGTAACTCTCCCAATTGGTTTCGTCATAGCACCTTACACAATACCAATATTTGTTGTATATAAACCATACCATCAATATTTTTTGTAATATGTAACATAGTCGCGTTTTCCTGGAGGCTCGGCTTATTTCGTCACTGGTATAGAAATCACGCACGAGTGATAAAGTTTCTTCTGCTAAAGACGCCCTGATCAGCTTTCTTCCTGGCGTCGTCATTATCCCCTGTAGTGTTTTGGTCCAATCCGCCATATATTGAGAAACATCAGCTGACCAGCTTCTAGGTAAAGTCATGAGAATGCAATACTTCTCATTATTATCATGAGTTTCTAGAAACTTTTCCTTGAGTTGCTGTATGGTTTCATCATCGTTTGTAGCAGGCACACTGTCAGTACTTCTGATCAATTGTAAACAGGGTGCTTCTACTGACTCTGAAAATGAAGTTAAAAAAACATATTTGACATACTGTAAACACTACACTAATTTCGGAGAAGATATTTCCAATTCAGAGAAAAATTAGCATTTGGCGTCAGATTTGACAACCGAATTTGACAACCGTCACTGACAGTCAATGTCAATGACACTTTGAAGCACTGAACCAAAACTATTCTCAGAAGGCCATGTCCTCATGACAACGCGAAAAGCATAACTAAATAATAATAAAACAGATGAAAGTTCGCAGTAGTAATGGAAGAAAAATTAAATTTATGCGGATTGGCCACATAGAGATTGGAGAGAATAAATTCATTCATTGTAAAATGCTTGATATTCGGGACAAACAGAGGTCTTAGATATCCACAGAACCTCACAAATTAGGGCAAGACATGAGGTTTAAAAATCATGCATAATTGATTCGGTTGCGATAAGTTATGTCAAATATGCCAGAACCTGTGCCAGAACATATCTCAGAAGAATTTAGTTTTGACTAGCTTTTAATTTGATAGAAGTTAGAACAATCAATACGAAACCAACGATTTTAAATTGGCTCACTACTTGACTAGCCTATTGGTCCCAAGCAAACGATTAACCTACTCCATTCTAGTCGAAATTCTAGTACCACGCAATGTTTGTTTTGATTCGCTATGAAAGTTTGACAGATAAAATGAGGGGTTATTGGTTTTTCCAATGTTTCGAGGGGTGAATCGATTAGCTTGGGACCGAAGAAAGTACCAGAGCTGAGCCAAAAAGTTGTTTCGTTACCTTCTAGTCTTAGAGTTACCTCTATGGTATTATCAAGCCGGAGGCGGCGGGTTCAATTCCCGGTCCGGTAGAGGGAATCTTTCGGGTTGGAAATTTTCTCGACTTACCTGGGCATAGAGTATCATGGTATCATTGTGCTTGCCACACAATATACAAATTCATGCATTGGTAATTGGCATCGAAAGCTCTCAATTAATAACTGTGGAAGTGCCTTTAGAACACTAAGTTGAGAGCACGCAATAAGCTAATATGCGCTAAGCAATAAGCTTGAAATGCGAATAAGAAGAATACTAAAAAAAAGCCTACTAAAATCTAGATCCATTCGAGCCAGACGTTACAAAGTTTTCAGAATGCTATAATGTGACGTCATGCTCGTTTGACTCATGACTACCAATGTAAATACATTTTTTAAATACAATATTCACCTTGGCTTTTGACAGCAGGAACTCCGGATGGTCCAGCGGTGGGCTCTTCGGGTGCAGGTTTATACAGTTTGAGGTAGCAATTTCTGCATATGAAGGAACTGCCATCTAATTCCACTTTTTCTTCACCGCATGAACTTGAAGGGCTTGGGTAAGATTTCTCTTTAACGCATTTGAAATCCATAAACAACAACACGAACACTTAAAATTCATCGTTTATAAAACACTGGCTGTACAGCATATCTTTGGATTAGCAGAGATTTTGTTCCCTTACTGATTATTTCACTTCTAAGTTCATCCTTAAAGATACCACCATGCATTGTACCTACGAGCGAACACCTTACCTACCAAGTTTTCCGTATTATTTTAGCATGTGCTCTGTCTAGGTAGCTATTTACTTGTTGAAGTATTCACTTTGAATAAACAAGCCTATACTAGCAGAAGCAGAAAATTGATATGGAGCATGTGACTATGTCAGCTATGTACCAATGGAGACGCAAGGTAGTCTAGTCGTACTGGAGTAATGAGCTAAATTTCTAAACATGATAATTTCAAAAAAAATCGTAACTCAAAACCGAAGAAAAATACATTGCTGATTTTTGGATAAAGCTATTTCAAAGTGAATCTGGACGCAAATTCAAAGTAAATCTGGACGCACGGTTTAATACACCACCGCACCCCTGGTGGTTGGAACAAAAAACGTTTGACAGGCATTTGTCGATGTTTTATTGACGAAGAAATTGGTGAAAAAATTTTCTCGATTGATCGACGCATCCCGAAATTACGGATCATGGAACTTGAGAAAAGAAAATTAATTGTGCACAAACATCTAGAAAACCCTCAAAAATAGCAAAAGTGTTAAAATTACCAAAGTCAACGGTGAGCCTTGTAATCAAACGTTACAAGGATACTCTGAGTGGGGATAGAGCACAGCGCATCTATCATAAAAGTGGCACTAGGGACAAAGAGCTGAGGAGAAAGGTGTTGAGGTACGTTAAATGGTATGCTGCAAACAATGTTAATTTCGTCGCCGAAGAGATTAATCCTCCGAATTGCCCTGAGTTCAGACCGATCGAAAAATATTGGGCAATTGTCAAGCGAAAACTTCGAGGATGCGGTAAAGAAGTGACAAATGCACAACAAATGCGTTTAAAGTGGAATAAGTTCGCCGGTACAGTGTCACCAGCGACTGTGCAGATCATGATGGCATCGATCACAAGTAAAGTGCGACAGTTCGTTCGAAACGGTAAAATGTAATAACTCGTGATACATCGTTTGAAAGCTGAATAAATACCCTTTTGTTTGACGTTTTGATCAATTGTGTATGTTGTCTAATTGACCACTTTGTCAAAAATCCTTTAAATTTGTCGAACC